CGACTAGGCCTATATCTCAATAACAGGTCTCATCAGGCCGGCTGGGTCGTGACAGACTGATTGATAGTTGAGACATTATCTATATTATCAAATTGCATGAACGATTACCAATTATCGATTTTATTTACGTCATTTACAAATCAGAATAAAGATTAATAAAAGATTATTATTATTGATTTGCTTTTACTTTACTCATCATTCAAAAGAATTGGCAAGCCAGCAGGCTAATCTCCTTGTTCCCGGTACTGGTCAGGGGTCAACAGGATGAGATTTAATTAGTAATTCTAATAACTTACGATTTAAAGTAGTGGGGGATGTATAACAACGTGTCGACCACACGACGCATCTTGTAAGATCATACTGTTTTCTAAACCTCAACTTCTGTCAGTTAATGATTGGATAATCAACCCTTTCTCCGTCACAATTAAAAGTCGATGCACGAGTAACATAAACGACAGTATTGAACGTTCGTTCCGGCGCTCGATATATTATTATTTTTGTCTCAATATCTGGAATTCTTTAAAAACGAAGAAAAAAATATCGATCAGTTGATCAATCGTTCAGACTCGGCCTATCCCACACCAATACTTTGATGTTTAGATGAGTATGGTGTGAAGATGGCAAAGTACAATATACGCACCAAGCGTTCTATGACGGTATTAGATAGAAAATGTTGGCCAATGTCAGTTTAGTGTTAATAAAGTCAACTTTTCATAAATGGACTAATGGGTATTCAATAAACATTATAATTTCAAAAATGGCGTCTTTCATTTGAATTCACGGAACCTACGACTTCTGGAATTATATTAAGTTATATTCCAATGTTACTTTTTTTTTTAGAGCAAAGCCACATTTGGCTATCTGCTGTGTCCACCGGGGGTATCGAACCCCGGAGTTTAGCGTTGTAAGTCCGTAAACTTACCGCTATCTCACTGGTGGTTTACATTCAAATAAATACGGAATTTACCACTCCTGAAATTAATTACTTATATCCAAATAAACAAAGAATATACGATCCGTGGAATTAATTATTTATATTTAAATAGACCCTTAATTAATTACACTCTGAACCTTCGACCCTGTGGAGTAAATAAATTATATTCAAATAAACACCGAAGCTACGACTCCTGGAAGTAACTGACTGTTTTAATGAACGCGGAATCTGTAACTCTGTAATAAGTTCCTTACATTTTTTCTTAGACAATCTGTTATTACATACGGATTTTTCTATTACAATTACATCCCAGGTTTTAGCGTTTTTTAAGAAAATCACACAGTAAAGTTGAATAGGTTGAATTATCTAGATATCTGAGTAATGGATGATTTGAAGTACCAGAACGGAACCTCGTGAGCAGAAGTAAGAAACGGCAAATTTCTTAAATCTTCACTAGTTTACAGTAATACTAGATCACAAAATCTCGTGAGAAAAATGTTGTCCCTCAAAATGATATGACAGTAGAGCATAGGATTAACTTGGATAAATGTTTATCAACTTATACTGATCCTGGCTAATATGTTATCGATATGGATAACGTGTAGGCCGACATTTTTTTAAAAATGATTTTAGGGTTACGAATCATTTAAATCAAATACGCTGTTCAGGTTTATTTATAATCCTGTGTTATGCCTACTTTTTGTTAGATCAAAGACACAATGACAATTATAATTTTGATCTGTGATTCTCCAGTTCATGACACATTTTCATATTTAATGTTATAGTCATTACTAAAAGAATGTTTTATGTGTTCCAATAAATTCAAACGATTTAAATTAAAGTTCATAGTAAAAACAATTATTTTGGCTTTACGCTTTTTTTAGTCGAATTAATCAGCTTTAATTAAATACAGTGATAGGACAGTGACGTCTACATGGCTGAAAATACAAAAGAATTGCTTAAGCCAATCATGAGAAGTTGATATCTTAAGGATATCATGAAAGTCTGCCATGTTGACCATTCTGTTGATTTAAAAACTGGTATTAACCAGCTGTCATGGTAATCCATGTTGACCATTCTGTTGATTTAAAAACTGGTGTTAACCAGCTGTCATGATAATCCATGTTGACCATTCTGTTGACTTAAAAACTGGTATTAACCAGTTGTCATGGTAATCCATGTTGACCATTCTGTTGATTTAAAAACTGGTATTAACCAGCTGTCATGATAATCCATGTTGACCATTCTATTGACTTAAAAAATGGTATTAACCAGCTGTCATGGTAATCCATGTTGACCATTCTGTTGATTTAAAAACTGGTATTAACCAGCTATCATGGTAATCCATGTTGACCATTCTGTTGATTTAAAAACTGGTATTAACTAGCTGTCATGGTAATCCATGTTGACCATTCTGTTGATTTAAAAACTGGTATTAACCAGCTGTCATGGTAATCCATGTTGACCATTCTGTTGATTTAAAAAATGGTATTAACCAGCTGTCATGGTAATCCATGTTGACCATTCTGTTGATTTAAAAACTGGTATTAACCAGCTGTCATGGTAATTCATGTTGATTATTTTATTGGTTTAAAAACTGGTGTTAACCAGCTGTCATGGTAATCCATGTTGAACATTTTATTGGTTTAGAAACTGGTATTAACCAGCTGTCATGGTAATCCATGTTGAACATTTTATTGGTTTAGAAACTGGTATTAACCAGCTTCCATGGTAATCCATGTTGATTATTTTATTGGTTTAGAAACTGGTGTTAACCAGCTGTCATGGTAATCTTACACACATTAATAACATAATTTATTTGTTATCTTACACACAATAACAACATCATTTATTTGTTAGCTTACACACAATAACAACGTAATTTATTTGTTAGCTTACACACAATAACAACATAATTTATTTGTTAGCTTACACACAATAACAACATAATTTATTTGTTAGGTTTCACAGTCTTTATGTTGGATCTAATACAGTCTTTGTGTTAGTTGGTTGGAGTTAACACTATAACTGATTAAGATAATCGAATTAATTCTTTATCTTACCTGATCTCAGTCTTGCCGATTGTTATATAGGATTTGGTATATCTTTTTTGGTTATGATTCAACTCCTCGTCTCTCATTTTTATGATATAGGATTTAACTTCTCTTATTACGCATCTTTATATTACCTAATTAAAACACGGAATGAATAATTTACTTACCTAAATGTAAAATGGGATTTCATGATTCATGTTATTTGATTATACTAAAAATGTCTAAGAGTAATTTTTCAAGCAAGTAAAAACAGCTGGACACTGTAGGTATCATTTACAAAGTTTGTCTTATTGTTTGGAGTTTAAATTTCTAAGTTTAAGTTAAAACCAACTCAATTATTGTGGGTTAACAAAGTAGTACACAAATGTATTCGTTGGTTCACAGTCTTTGTGTTGGTTGGTTCACAGTCTTTGTGTTTGTTGGTTCACAGTATTTTTGTTGATTGGTTCACAGTCTTTGTGTTGGTTGTTTCACAGTCTTTGTGTTGGCTGGTTCACAGTCTTTGTGTTAGTTGGTTCACACTCTTTGTGTTGGTTGGTTCACAGTCTTTGTGTTGGTTGGTTCACAGTCTTTGTGTTAGTTGGTTCACAGTCTTTGTGTTGGTTAATGTAACTGATTATGATATTGGAGTTCACACTGTAACTTAACAACTTAACTTACAATGATATTGGAGTTAACACTATAACTGATTATGATATTGGAGTTCACACTGTAACTTAACAACTTAACTTACAATGATATTGGGGTTAAAACTATAACTGATTATGATATTGGAGTTCACACTGTAACTTAACAACTTAACTTACAATGATATTGGAGTTAACACTATAACTGATTAAGATATTGGAGTTCACACTGTAACTTAACAACTTAACTTACAATGATAGTCCCCTAAATAAATAAATAAAAACTATTTCATGTATACCACTGCTGAATTAACTCCCCTAAATAAATAAATAAAAACCAGTTCATGTATACCACTGCTGGAAAAAATCCCCCTTAAATAAATAAATAAAAACCATTTCATGTATATCACTGCTGGATTAACTCCCCTAAATAAATAAATACAAACTATCTCATGTATACCACTGCTGGATTAACTCCCCTCAATAAATAAATAAAAACTATTTCATGTATACCACTGCTGGATTAACTCCCCTAAATAAATAAATAAAAACGGGATAATATTTCTCCGTAATTGACGTCATGCATATCAGAGTTATTTTTTAATTTACGTTTTACGAGGAGATCGTGGAATAGGTTAGAACTGAACGTGTTTTTAAACTTTATGGTACTTCTTTATTTAGCGTGAAGCTACTCGCAGTAAATTGGCCATTTGGTTTTGTAATAAGTTACAACTTTAACATTACTTTAGTTTAAAGTGCCGGAAAGGTTAGAAATATTATTAGAATATTATAAGATAAAGGAAACATGAACGTTATATAAGTACTTTTTGAAATATTAAGTTTTACGTGAATTGTTAGTGAAATACGTTAGCTTGTATAAACCGATTCACGTTAGGTTACCAGTTACAATTATTCCGAAAAGCTCTAAGGAAGTTTGAGATGGGCTTCAAAACCTCTTCTTGACTGTGGAAGGTGCCAGAAACTTCATTACGATTTCAGTTTTCAGTGAAGTATTTTCCCTGTGGTAAGAGAATTAAAAGCAGCGACCTCAAACAAGGGTTATTTTATCAAAAGGATACTGTATCACGTTTTTTTTTTTTTCACTGCTTTTCATGTATTCTGTTCTTTTTTTTATTAAATGCCGATTCACTTTCATCACCAAATTAGAAAAATCATAAAAACAGTGAAAAAACTAAGAAAAATATTTAATAGAAAGTCGTTTACAACCCTAGTCTACCAAAAAGTTGTTCACTTTAGAGTACATCTCAGGTGGCGCCACCTTTCGTCGGGTAGAAGATTTACCTCTTTGACTCACCAGACGTATTATATTGAGCAGTTGAAAGAGACTTTGAAGCAGTTATACTAGCGCACTGTCTGAGAGAAAGACAGGCCCTATGCTACTGGCCACGAATCGATGGAACGCTATGCTGCTGTGTCTAACGTGTGGCGCCGCCGGTCTGCGGGCATCTGTGACAGCCAGCGAACTTTTAGCAGTTCGCGGTTAAGTTAAGCCGTGTTGTACGAAAACTCGCGAAAGCCTGTGTAAGATCTCACTGAATTAACTGACACGCACTGGAACTGTAAAGTAGTACTCATACGCGGCGGTTTTCGAACAAGAACAGTTTTAAACTTGCCGAGTAACGAGAAGAGCAGTGGCACCGACGGAAATGTGGCGATTTTTCTACCGATAAAACTGACCACAAGTCCAGCGGTAACAGCTCACTTCCAATATCTATCTCACTGATAAGACAAGTCGAGGTCTCTTTTCTCATCCCAGGTGACAGGTCGGTACCCAGCATAAATATTATTGTAACACAAATACAAATATAATGTTGTTATTGGTTATTTACTGTGATTATCAGTTTATTTTGTAGGTATGTTTTCAAGCTAGAACTAATAAATATATGTAATCTTAAAACCAATTACGAAAAACATCGAGAGTTGTACATAACTAACGTTTTAAGGTAATATAATCAAAGATCAATATATTTTTGTTTACTTTCTAAGATCTCCCCCCACCCCAGTGGCACAGCGGTATGTCTGCGGACTTACAACGCTAGAAACCGGGTTTCGATACCCATTGTGTGGCAGAACACAGATAGCCCATTGTGTAGCTTTGTGCTTAACTTCAAACAAACGAAAATCAATGTTTGTGTTGTATTGACATTATCCGAGTGATTTCGGATAGCAAACCAACAATATCTAATGTTTACAAGTTCAATAAAGAGAGGAATCCGTTTTCATGTTGCAATGTTTACTGACAAGTTGTCGTGCTGGTTTCTCAGTACCATCTGATCCAGTATGGTTACATGCTGATGTAACAGTGGAGGAGAGGGGTCCCCTCCCTCAAACTTTTCAATCTGTTTCAGTAAAAATGCATCAGAAAAAAAAAACTACTCTCGCGAAAAGCAAAAGAATGCGTGATATTTAATCCAGAACCTAATAAATTCAAAAGCCCTAAGGCGAGACCTGAACCCTGGATCTTTTCGCTCGGTCAAATAAATATCGGGCTCCCCTCTTTTAATTTACCTCCTACACCCCTGTCTAAGAAATGAACATTTGTTCTTATACATTAGTCGTAAGTTGTGTTCAATAACAGTTTCGATACCTGCTCTTGTAAGAAATCGCATCAAATTTTCAATTAGTTCTGATATTTTAAATGTTTCTTCGTGGTTTTAAATGTACAGGATCCTTCATAAAAGCTGTTATTTGAGCGTTCTCAAATGTAATAACATTACAGAAATTTTACAAATATTGCTGCTCTGTATATATAGATATATATGGAAGGCATTGCCATACCTTTAAGAAAATGGAAAGGATACGAAGTTAACCTCGTTGATCGAATGGTTAAAGCACCTATAAAATTCTGTAGAGGGTAGTAGCCAAAGAAAACCGAACTTATTACGTCTCTTGAGGCCTAGAGATAGTGTCTAGTTTTGCCGTTAAAATCGGGTTTTATGTAGACAAAATGATACCACCACTATACCAAATAGCGTGGAGATAAACAAGAACCCTACAGCGGATGAGTTACAAGACACTATATACTACCAACTGCACGCGAAACTCGAGTTAAAAGAAACTCGGTGGTTTTTCCTTCTTTTTGTCCTTGTCTTTCCCTATATATCCATTACCCACTGACTTTCTTTAGTACATCTACGTCCTTTCTTCTCTATATATATATGTGTCACCGTTTATCCTTCTTTCTTATACCTTAGTCATCACTTTCCTATCTATTACGGTTTATCATTCATTCTATTTATACCTTAGTCATCACTTTCCTATCTATTACGGTTTATCCTTCTTTCTTATACCATATTCATCACTTTCCTATCTATTACGGTTTATCATTCATTCTATTTATACCTTAGTCATCACTTTCCTATCTATTACGGTTTATCATTCATTATATTTATGCCTTATTCATGACTTTCCTATCTATTACGGTTTATCATTCATTCTATTTATACCTTAGTCATCACTTTCCTATCTATTACGGTTTATCATTCATTCTATTTATACCTTAGTCATCACTTTCCTATCTATTACGGTTTACCATTCATTATATTTATGCCTTAGTCATCACTTTCCTATCTATTACAGTTTATCATTTCTTAGATTTATCCTTTAGTGTCACAGATAAAGTTTAAACACAAACACATGTTTTTATTTTTACAATTTCTCTAGAGGATGTATGTAAGCCTACTTGAAGCCAGATATATTTTATCATAAGTACAGTAGTACTTATAGTAGGGAATAGGGCGGATACAGAATACATGTAATACAAACTATTCACTGATATACACCTTTAATAACCATATAATATATCTTCAAAAGCATTTGATAGACACTTTTAGTAATAGAACCGCTTGAGAAAGTCAGTAGAGCAGATACATAAAATCACAAATCTCGCTGCAACAACATAGGGACTACGTGCTAGTGCTAGCGTTTTTCGATACCAAACATCACCGAAAATAAGAGCTATTTGACCATCATCGGGACGCCATTTTAAAATACATATAAACACAAATTAATGAATGGCACATAAGATCTTGCTACCTTGTATATAAAAAGTGCATGAACAAGTGAAAAAAAAATATTTAAAAAATTGAGAGTGTAGGAATGAGTGCACCAAAAAGTGAGGGATGGACGTGGTGTAATGAAACTTCACAAGGGGGCATGTCCTACATTCGGTTCATGCCTACTTCGTTTTTCTGTGTTCGTGGTATTATACAACCTATAGGTACATACAAAAGTGTATAGACAATAACCACTCCATGACGTCGATACACAGAAATCTCTTAGGATTTTTTTATCTCTGTATTTTAATCCTCCTATATAGCTAATGTACGAAAACCTGTTGCCTTCTCCTGCAATTGCAAAAGGAGGGACAAGTTGTAAAGAAGAAGAAAACAAACACACAAGTTATGGGTCCACACTTATATCAAGTTCTTCTGGTGTCGTATAAACAGACTTTACAGTACATGTATTGTACGATAAGCATAAGTAAATTTGATATGTTTTCTCCACCTGGCTGATTGTGTACGGGATAGAAAGAATAAACAAAGTAGGTATGGACCGGATGCTGGACCCGTCCCCTTGTGATGTTGTACAGAGGAAGTTTTATTACACCATACCCCTTCCTACCTTGTTTCCTCACTTTCTGGTGCACTAATTCCTACACTCATTTTTTAAAGTATTTTTTTCACGTCTGTATAGGAAAACGTCAGTAAACACAACCCAAATTTTAAGACAAGTTTACAATTAAATAATAAAAGTTAGCTACTCATATTATCTGATGTCACATTTTAATGTGATTACATTCAATAAGAACTCCTCGGAACATAAACCACACGGAAGGACATTAAGTGTTATAATATCATCATCCGAATATATAGCCGATGTCATGGGCAAATTCCAGTTCAAGGTCTTGACATATATTCTGGGATAACAACTTTCAGTTTGTGAATATAATCATAACTGAATGATTAACAATTTAGAATACATATCATCACTGCAGGTCATCCAATTATAGCATGAAACTTAACAACTTAACATATTATGATATTGGAGTTAACACTTTAGCTTAAAAACAACTCAACTTATTATGATATTCAAGTTAACACATTACCTTAATAACTTAACTTACAATGATATTGGAGTTAACAATATAACTGATTATGATATTGGAATTAACACTGTAACTTAACAACTTAACTTACAATGATATTGGAGTTAACACTGCTGGATTAACTCCTCTAAATAAATAAATAAAAATGGAATAATGTACTATTTCATGTATGCTACTGCTGGATTAACTCCTCTAAATAAATAAATAAAAATGGAATAATGTACTATCTCATGTATACCACTGCTGGATTAATTTCTAAATAAATAAATAAAAATGGAATAATGTACTATTTCATGTATACCACTGCTGGATTAACTCCTCTAAATAAATAAATAAAAATGGAATAATGTACTATTTCATGTATGCTGATGTAATAGCTTTAGTTGTGGCAATGTTAGACGACAAAGAATTAGACACGAGTGATTTTTCATGAAACAAAAAGTAAAAACATAAACCAATACCTGACGCTAAGGTATACGTGAAAAACATAAGAGCATTGTAATTACACAGTATCTTAGTATCCATTATCATTAATTTTCAAAGAAACCAAAAACGTCATTCGACCCTCTGCCAGTCTGCAGGTCTTTTATATCAAATCAATTATCATCAGATGACAAAAAATATCTAAAATAAGGATAGTTTGTCCGAGCATTAAGAAATGACTTTTAGTGTGTGAAGCTGGCTAGTTTCATGAGCCTTAACTTCTGTAACTTAGTCAGTAAAGTAAGTCAATCAATCTGGTTTTAATTATTTACAACACTTGCACCCAAATTCGATTATCTTCCAGTGTCGCTGAAATATGATGTGGTTAAAATATAGGAAAAAAAAAACTTTTGTGTCTAAAGTTAGACGTTTAACAGATAAATACATATATGACATCAACAGTGATTTTAGAGATAATTGAAAACAAATAACTTTGTATTTCTAATCAGCACTAATTACTAACACTTCAGTGTTGCAACATCAGTACTGCTGACTGCGCTAATCTAAATAAAAATGGAGCAATGGGAACATCCTGTTGTGTTCAGTACTGTTAACCGAAGTAACTTAAAAACGAAACTAAGTAACGGATTAATTTTTTAAGTTCGGCATTGTTAACCCAACTAAATTCAATAAAAATTAGATAATGGATTGGGACTTGAAGTTCAACAGTGTACCATTTCGTGTATACCACTGCTGGATTAACTCCCCTAAATAAATAAATAAAAACTATTTCATGTATACCACTGCTGGATTAACTCCCCTAAATAAATAAATAAAAACTATTTCATGTATACCACTGCTGGATTAACTCCAATAATGTTAAGAAGACAGTTAAACTTACTTTGACTGTGTTTAATGTAATTTTAACAGTCAGTTAGAATAATATATAATGTTCGTAATAATGTTAAGAAGACAGTTAAACTTACTTTGACTGTGTTTAATGTAATTTTAACAGTCAATTAGAATAATATATAATGTTCGTAATAATGTTAAGAAGACAGTTAAACTTACTTTGACTGTGTTTAATGTAATTTTAACAGTCAATTAGAATAATATATAATGTTCGTAATAATGTT